ATTCGAACCCGCCACCTTAGGTGTACGTGGCTGGCGCCTTAGCCGGTTGAGCTATAGGCGCCGAGCCAGGATATTTTGGTTTAAAAATGCCCGGTGGGGACAGGGAATCCCTGAAGGGAATTTTTTTTTTTTAAAGGTGGGATTGGGGAAGAAGAGCGAGAGCTGTGGTCCAAGAGCTTCTACGTAAAAATAAAAAAGGTTTAAAAGGGAAAAAGAGAAAAATAGTCTCAAATGGTTCTGAATGTTCTAGCGATGAACTGAAAGGAAGGTGAGGCCATGGAGCCAGTTTTATAGCTGGCCTGCCGGGTAGCTTAGCGGCCTCCGTCCGGAGTTTCCTCCTGTTTGGGGCTCTTCAGGCTCCCACTGCGAGCTGGGGTCTGAGCCCCATCCAAGGCCGAGACGGTGCTGCCCGTGGCCTTGGTGTAGAGGCTGCCAACTGAGGAGGGGTAGTTAGTCTGCTTTGCGCACTTGACCTCGCCTCCCCAGGGCGCAGACTTGCTGCTGCGGAAGAGCATTCTGCAGCCTGAGGTTGTCAATATCTTGCCGGTGTGGGTGGGTATCCAGCATGGCCTGCGCAGATGCTGGATATACTCTGCGGCTTTTTCTAGGATTTGGGCCCGGGATGCCTTCTCTCCTCGGAGTGACGGGACCGAGCCCCGCAATCTGTGGAAGCTGTCTTGAAGGTGGTCCCTACGTTTTCGTTCCAGTGCATTATGATGAGCGGGTTTGTCAGCCTCGCTCTCCATCTGGATGTCATCATTATGGCTCATTTCCTGCGGCCCGGGGTGGGGGTGGGCGGCCACTGCAGCAGGGAGAGGAAGGGGTGGAGGGGAGGGGGATGTCACCTACAACAAGCTGAGTACCCCCTACACACACACACACACACACACACACACACGCCTCACTCACTCACACACTCACACAAAACACGGGTAAGAACCACCTCCTCACTCGCTTTTGCTCATATTCTAACTGGGTTGTTTGTCTTCTTATGCTTGAGTTTTTAAAGAGTTCTTTGTACATTTTGGATAACAGTTCTTTATCAGGTATATTTTCCCAAATACAGTAGAACCTCTGTAATGTGACCATCTAAGGGACTGTAACAAACTGGTCAACATTCAGAGGTGGTCAACATAAGAAACTAGACCTACTGTACTGATAAGTACACGAGGTGCATGTCAGGTCTATGAAAATCAAGTCAACTTAGGGAGATAGTCAACTATGGAGGTTCTACTGTATTTTCTCCCAGTCTTTGGCTTGTCTTATTCTCTTAACAGTGTCTGCTGCAGAGTAGAAGTTTTTAATTTTAACAAAGTCTAACTTATCAATTTATTTCTTTCTATGAATTGTACTTAAAATGTCATATCTAAAAAAGTCATTCCTAAACCCAAGGTTGCCTAAGTTTTCTCCTACATTAGCTTCTAGAATTTTTATAGTTTTACATTTTGCAGTTAAGTGTATGGTCCATTCTGAGTTAACTTTTGTGAACGATATAAAGTATAGGTCTAGAAATAAAACTTTTTTGCCAACAGATGTCCACTTCTATTATTTGTTGAAAAGACTATTTTTTTCTCAATTGTATTACCTTTGATCCTTTGCCAAAGATTGGTGGTTCTCTGTCTCTGTGTGCGTCTACCTTTCACCTTTTTTTTTTCTTTTTGGAGACTTGAGTCTCATTCTGTGGCCCTAGGTTGAGTGCTATGATATCATAGCTCACAGCAACCTCAAATGCCTGGGCTCAAGTGATCCTCTTGCTTCAGCCTCCTGAGTAGCTGGGACTATAAGCTGCTGTTGTACCTTTATGATAAATCTTGAATTTGAGTAGTCTGCTCAAATCCAGTCCTCTGAATTTGATCTTCCTTTTCAGGATTGTATTGAGTATTCTGGATATTTTACCTTTATATAAACTTCAAAATCATTTTGTCATTATCCACAGAATAATGTACTGGGATATTGATGGAATTATGTTGAATCTGTAGATGAAATTGGGAGGAACTGGCATCTTAACATACTGAGTTTTTCTACCCATGTACGTGGAATACCTATACATTTATTTAGTTCTTCAATTTCTTTCATTAGAGTTCTATATTTTTCCTCACATTCTTTATATAATTCATTATATTTATAACCATTTCATTTTTCTTTGGTGCAATGTAAATGGTATTCCATTTTAAATTTCAAACTCCATTGTTCATTGCCAGTATATAAGAAAACAATTGACTTTTGTATAATATATTTATCTTGTGTCTTGTAATCTTGTTATAAACAGACATTATGTTTACCCTGTAGCTATTTGGAGCCATTAAAAGCATGGGGCAAGAGTGTTGTACTATTATATGTTCAAGGAAGACCAAACCGGAAGTAATACATAGAATGGATTGGAAAGAAAATAAACTAGAGGTAGAGAATCCACGTGGAAGTCTTCTATGTGAGCCCTTGATGACACAGTAAGGTTCTGAATAAGGATATTACAGCATCAAAAGAAAGGTAAGAACAGATTCAAGAGGCAAATACCCTACATTTGCCCTTCTACTTCATGCTTATGAGTCTTTGCACATGCAATTCCCTTTTGGAGAAGCCCTCACAATCCCCTTCATCTAACTTTTAATTGTTCTTTGATATTTAGTTCAGATGGCTATGGCCTCCAATAACCCTTCCCCGTACTGTCTCCCCACAGTCTCCTGTAGTGTCTGCTCCCACACTGTGAGTGCTGTTTATGTTTATTAATATATAATATATTTGTCTATTTACTTACCTGTGTCTTGTTGCTTTCATTAAATCTGAGCTCCTGAATTTGTGTAGCCCAGTACCTGGCCCCATAAACGTACACATAAATGAGTAATTCATTCCCATCTGTTGTTGGAACTCACAACATTACCAAGTATGCCCCAACTATTATATCAGATTTTTACACTGTATCTTTTCTTTTAAGGGACTAAAATCATACAACCTCAAAAAAAACTGAAGTCACAGATCAGGAAGGAAGCAGGCAGCCCCTATCAGGAAGCGATCAGTTCCTCAAAACTGTGTTTTGTGTCATCCTGTTTCTTTAAGTGAGCTTACCCTTTCTGTATAAATAATACTGTTTTTTAAAGAGCGAGTTTAAAAGTTTAAGAGTCTAATCCACACTTTGCACAAGTTCATCTGCTGAGCCCTAGGCCTCTTTGTTGAGTTCAGGACGTTTCTTCCCCTGCCCTGCCCAGGCAGCACTGGAAGGCTTGGAGAAAAAAAAGGGCAGACAAGAGCCTCTGCGCCTGAAACTAACCACAGCCTCCATCCTCAGTGGGAGCTCCAACACTGAGACCAGGTAAGAACTCTAAGGGCTGGGGCAATAAGACAGTGAAGATGGCTGGGAGATAGTGGTCAAATACATAAAAGATAAATATTTCAGGAAAAACCAAGTTTCTGACATGAGGGTCATCAAATGCATGAGTACAGGTCAAAGAGGATGGGATCTGCCAATCAAAGAAAAATTCTACTTACCTCGTTTTTCTCTTCACTAGCCTTTAGGTTCTTCATAGAATTGCGAGACTGACTCTATGTGTGAAAGGAGATGATTGGTTGGCTTTTTTTCTTTTTTTAAAGAGCTATGAAATCTTAAAAGGCAGAACAAAAATCTAAATAGTTACAATTAATAATTTTGCTCTTATTGTTTCTTCTCCTATAATTATCTTCCCTGTTTCCATACAGAAAAGATGGTGCTATGTTTTCCTCTCCTATTCCTGTTGGAGCTCTGGGGACCCATATGCCCACTTTATGCTCAGCCTATGCATCTCACCAAGGCTCAGTGGTTTGAAATTCAGCATATACAGCTATATCCTCTCCAATGCAACAGGGCAATGTATGGCATCAATAATTACACGGGGCACTGTAAACCTCTAAACACCTTTCTGCACGACTCTTTCCAGAACGTGGCGGCTACCTGCAATTTGCCCAACCTCGTCTGCAAAAATGGTCAGAACAACTGCCACCAGAGCCCAAAGCCTGTCAACATGACTCACTGCAGACTCACTTCAGGAAAGTATCCTCAGTGTCGCTACAGGGACTCTACCCAATACAAATTCTTCGTTGTTGCCTGTGACCCCCCTCAGAAGATTGACCCTCCCTATCATCTGGTTCCTGTACACTTAGATAGTACTGTCTAAGGTCGCCATCAGTTTTCCTCTCATTTGACACCAGGTTGTCTTAGAATTTCTTCTGCTTTTTTTTTTTCTTTTGTTAATTTCCTTGTTCTCACAAAGAGAGAATGAAAGTGCACAGGATACCGGACCAGAGTTGGGACAAAAGTACAATTTTCTTCTGCTTTGGAGTTCTGTGTGTTTTGAGGGAAGGCAACAGGGAAAAGGACAAAGAAGAATTCAGACCTCCAGATTTCTAATCTTGCAACTTCTGCCAAGCTTTATTGCACTGGATTCACAGCAATAAAACCACTTCCCGCTGCATTCCAATGAGCGTGAGTGTATTTGAGATCCACTTTCAAATCACTGCATATTATTTTTCAAAGAAGGACTACTCTGGCCTTAAGTCCCTCCCTGGGGCCTCTACCACTTCCTTACTGGGAGGAAAGGGGAGTGTTTGGGACTTCAGAGCATCCCTTCCAACGCAGTTCATGACTTTATGTATTTCTCTGGAAACCATTGTCTTTATCTGGAGGATACTCAAAGACAGCTGGTGATACTTTCATACATAGATTCCAATATTGGCAACTGAGGGTCCTAGATCTTTCCTATTTGATTTTGTTTTTAAGCACATAATGTCATAGTAGTGGGAATAATAATCCACTGAACCTTAGAGTTAGTCCTCCCATCATCTATTGGGCATTTTATGAACAATTAACGAACAATTCAATGAATATATGGGGGTGGGGCCTGGGCACTACTGGATATATTGGTTTGTTTAGAGACTGCAGCTCTGTTACCCAGGCTAGAGTGCAGTGGTGTCGTCATAGCTTACTGCAACCTTCAACTCCTGGACTCAAGCGATCCTTCTGCCTCAGCCTCCTGAGTAGCTGGGACTACGCGTGCCACTATGCCTAAAACTGGATCTTTTAAAAAGATTTCCATCTAATTGTAATGAGCAGCAAAGACTAAGAACCCAGGGAAAGTGCAACAGAGCTCCCGGGGACAGGAATTCTTCTAGAGCTCTTCAACCTTCCTGATGGATTTTGTACAGTCTTTCCCTTGCCCTCTCTCGTGGGCTCATTTCCTTTTTAATAGGATTAATTACTTTTTTGGAAATTAAATAGTGCAGGTAAATACAAAGCACTTTATACCACGCAAATAAATATTATGTTTTCACTTGTTTAATATATTCAAAGAATTATAAACATATATTCAGATAGTAGGATAGCTCAAAACACACCAGTGTTTTTAAGACAGTTGTAGGTTTTATATACATATAATTTAATAATTTATTCATCACTCATGTATTCACTCAAAAATTTACTGAGTGACAGTTTTGTGCCAGACTGCATTGGGTGGGTGCTGCTGATGGACAAAAAGTCATGGTCTCTATTTTCATGGAATTCAGGGTCTAATGGGGGAAATAGATTTTAACCAAAATAAGCACTGAATACAAATCAAGAAGAAAAAATATACAGAGTTATGAGACTGTTAAGAAGGGATCTAGGAATTGAGCTCAGTGTGTGAAGAATCCCTCTTGTAACCAAAAGAATTTCACTGAAATCAAACATAGTTTACTTACAACACATTTACAAAATACTGTGTATGTTTTCCCAGCAAACAAACCATTCAGCACCCACAAATTTGATGTTTTTGTCAACTTTTTCATCAAAAGCTGTTTCAAAGAAGATGTGAGATTAGCAAATGGTTAGTTGAAACTTTCTATTTTAGTGTAATCAAATAGTTCATGTTTCTGGATTGCAGTTTTTAAAATAGTCTAGTATTATTTCTTACTCAGCCCAGCTGTTTTTGACAGACCGAATAGTGCAATTTGGGAAGTGGCAAAAGAAGCTTATAAACTGACTGCAGAGATAGAAATTTACCTCCAGTGCTAAATACCAAGGGAATCTACAAGATAAGAGTGAACAAATGTCACAATTCACAATAATGTCACATGTGTACAACAACTGTACACGAGGAATACTTGAGTATTTTCTGTGGCTGTATCACATATACATTGTAACTAATTTTTGCATTTAGCAATTGGAAGTCTAGGCTAGGCGCCTGTGGCTCAAGTGGCTAAGGTGCCAGCTACATACGCCTAAGGTGGCGAGTTCCAATCCAACCTGGGCCCACCAAACAACAATGATGGCTACAACCAAAAAATAGCTAGGCGCTGTGGCAGATGCCTGTGGTCCCAGCTACTTGGGAGGTGGAGGCAGGAGACTCGCTTAAGCCCAGGAGTTGGAGGTTGCTGTGAGCTGTGATGCCACGGCACTCTATCCAGGGGGACAGCTTAAGGGTCTGTCTCAAAAAAAAAAAAGAAAAAGAAAAAGAAATTGGAAGTCTAGTGTATTAAAAGAATTAAAATGTAATTCTGACATCATCAGCTATAATTTGTATCTCCTTGTTCCATAATCCCTGATAATATTTTCATTTTTATTTCCTAATCTGAACATTATGATAATTATTTCATGTGTTCTAGTCTAAGTTATCATTTACAAAAATGATTAGACATGAATATTATTGCTATATTATCAGTTTTTATTTTAAAAAAAGAAAGAAGGACTCTGAATAAGCTTAGAGGATCAGGGATGACTTCTCTGAAGAAATGTTGCTGCTTGCTACGAGATGAGAGGCTTCAGTGCCATTGCGGGGCAGTTATTATTATTACTGTCATTCATAATTAGGGGAGACTATTGTATTTTGTATGACTTGTAACCCTTTAACACATTGACTGCCACACTAGAAGAAAACATTTTTCTTTCAGGCCACAGTATTTTATTACAAAAATAGAATAAAAACTTTGAAAGCAAAATGATCCTTTCTAATTTAATGAAAAATTCGTGTTTTTTTATTGTTTTCCATGCATGAGTTATATGGAACTCATAGTACTAGAATAAATTTTGACACTGCACACCATGTGAGTTGTATGTGACTCACGACATAATTATTGAATTTGTTTCTGAGACTTGAGCCTTTTGTCATTCCATAAGTACTTAGTTATGTCCAGAGTGGGTCTTGATGGTCCTGGATGATGACCTTATTTCTCTAGAAAATTCTGCCAGGTTTTTAGTTGAGTATTTTGAAGCACTATTATAAGGTATCATTTTGAGATGGAAAAAGCATAAACTCAGTTTTTATTTTATTCTCTCACTCATAACACCAACAATAATTAATCATCAACATGAAAGACCTCCGTGACCAAATGTGGGGATCTCTCTCCACCAACAACCATTCTATAATATTAGGATTATTCTATAATCCTAATAGAATATTTAGGCTTGTTATGTTCTCTTAATAAATTGTCCCCTTTATGAATGTGAAATGACACTCTTTTATCTCTGGTAATAGTCTCTGACATCTACTTTGCCTGATACTAATATAGTCATATCCTATCTCCTAACTCCCAAAATTGTTTGCCTAGACCCCAGTTCCCACATCACACTGACTCAATAGTTTTCTTTCTTTCTTTCTTTCTTCCTTTCTTTCTTTCTTTCTTTCTTTCTTTCTTTCTTTCTTTCTTTCTTTCTTTCTTTCTTTCTTTCTCTCTCTCTCTTTCTCTCTTTCTCTCTTTCTTTCTCCTTAAGAATACATTTAGATTTAACTGTACTTCTTTCAGGGGTCAATACAAATACATCAACCAAGATAGTTTTAGTACCATCTTCCCCCAACATTATTGTCCCATAAAATGTCATCATCTACTTCCCTGTCAGATTCTCCCTCCTGAGACTGATTGGCTGCTCATCTCCAATTATTCAGCTATTTGTCCTGCACTGACCCAATCATCTGAGCTTCAGCATCCTGGTGTTGCTCTCCATCTCCAGCCCATCCTCCTCATTCATACTCAGTCATATGCTGGATAATTATGTTTCTGTCAGTGACAGGCTACATGTACAACAGCGGTCCCTTAAGGCAATAAAGAAGCTGAAAAATTCTTGTCACCTTGTAACACTGCAACTAAGGTAACATAGCCCAACACTGGTGTAAATAACCTACTGTACTACCAGTCCTATCGAAGCCTAGGATATATAATTGTGTACAGTAGAATGGTGCATAATACTTGATAATAATTACAAATGACTATGTTACTATAGTTCTTATCATTAGAGCATATTTCACACACATGCGCACACATACACATAAAAGTTAACTGTAATATAGCCTTACACAGGTCCTCCAGGAGGTATTCCGGAAGAAGGCTCTGTTATCCTGATCTCCATGTGTTATTGCTCCTGAAGGCCTTATGGTGGGACGAGATGTAGAGGTTGAAGAAAGTGATATTGATGATTCTTACTATGTGTAGGCCTAGGCTAATGTGTGTGTTTGTGTCTTGGTTTTTCTGAATAGAGACAGGGTCTTGATCTGCCATCTAGGTTGAAGTGCAGGGGCTCGAACTTCTGGGCTCAGGCAATATTTCTGCCTCAACCTCCAAAATAGCTGTGCACAGGCATGCACCACCATGCCTGGCTAATATTTTAATTTTTTTTTTTTTTTTTTGTAGAGATGGGTTCTCCTTATGTTGCCCAGGTGGCTCTTGAACTTCTAGCCTCAAGCAATTCTCTCAGCTCAGCTTCCCAAAACACTGGGCTTATAGGCATGAACAACTATGCCAGGTCTAATCTCAGTTTTTAACCAAAAAAAGTTTAAAAAGAAAAATCAAATAAAAAATATTAAAAATAGAAAAAAGCTGACAGAATAAGAATACAAAGTGAGAAAATATTGTCCTATAGCTATAACATGTGTGTTTTAAGCTAAGTGTTATAATTTAAGGCTCAAAAAGTTAAAAAAATTAAAAGTGTGTGAACTAGAAAAAGTTACAATCAGCTACGTTAATTTACTGTTGAAGAAAGAACATTTTGAAAATAAGTTCAGTATAATCTAAGTGTATAGTTTTTGTAAAGACTAGGGTAGGATACAGTAATGTCCTGGGCCTTCATAGTCATTGTTAGTGTGGAAACCTCAGGAGGTGTTCCACATGGACTGAGAAAAGAAGTTCTCTAGACCAAGATTCAGATATAAAAGTGTAAGTTTATTCTGTGTTTTATAAGGACAGAA